AATCAATCAATCAATCAATCAATCAATCAATCAATCAATCAATCAATCAACCAATCAACGAATTAATCAATCAATCAATCCAAAAACAAAAAAAAAACAATAAAAAACTAAGCAATGGTACAATAGAACGGAAAAGAGGAAAAAAAAAAAAAGCACAACGATAGGGGGTCCATTATTTTTCTCCCCCCCCCTAAAATGGACCCCCCCCGTTTTTAAAATTTTTGGTTTTTTTTAAATGCGGGGGCATGGGGCCTGGGGTGCGCCCCCGGAATCCCGACCCCGACCTCCAGTACCCCCTCCCCCTCGCCCGCGGCGAGCCTTTTTCAACCGCCGCGGCGATCATGACCACGGGCCCGTGGTGACCGCGGCCTGGGGGGATACATAGGTCAATGCTGCGTGATCATGTTCCGGAGTTGTTTTGTCCAATTTTTAAAAGAAGATCGGAGATTTGTCCAATTTTAAAAAGAAGATCGGAGATTTGTCCAATTTCAAAAAGAAGAAGACGAAGAAGAAGAATGAAGGCAGAAGGAAAGAAACCACAGTGATCAGTACATACTACATCGTCTATTTTTTTTTTCTTTTTTTAAAATTTTTAGATTGAGAAAGAATTCTCAGTACCTGACAGGCTGATCCTACTCAGAGTTTGCCGCGATACACTCCTACCATCCTTTTTTTTTTTTTCCTACGAACTCCGTCCCATTACTGTCTATCCTTCATGCCTAGAATTGTAGCCCAAGGCCAGGGCTCAGACAAGGGCCTCTGGGGGACACCAGAGGTCCCTGCTTGATCCCCGGCTCGCCTTCCAATTGCACTAGCTTTGCTATCTGCCTACGAAACACCCGTGGACGCGTCCACGGGGTCGAGCTCGGAGGGCGGCCGTATTCATGTCCGCGGCTGCGGGTGGCCTCAGCCGCACCGCGGACATGAATTTACCGGATTTTTCCTGAATAAACTAATGGGTAAAAAAAAAAGGGGGGTTTAGGGATTTTTAAGCCCTACACCCCCCTATTTTGTTTTTGGAAACAGATATTAATTTTCATACTTGCGGCGCATGCCGTGCACGACATTGTGGCGCGTGCGGCGCAGAGCGCAGCCGGCGCGCGCACGGCATGCGGCGCATCGGCCAAAACAGGGGTCGTGGAAAAAAAAAAAAAGTTCCGGGGGGGTTGGGAGGCCCGGAGGGGAACCGGGGGAAATTGCCTCCATGGGCACAAAAAAAAATTTCCGGGCCGCGCGGAGGGCCGGTAAAAGTTTTGGGGGGAGATCTGAGTAGTTCGTTTTCGGACTACTCAGGCCTCCCCCACGTCGCCGTTGGGTAACCCGGCACTTCACCGACCTGCCAGTTGTGCCTTGTCGCTTTGGCGGCCGTCGTGCGGTATGTGTTCGTCGTCGTTCGTCTTCGGTCGTGCCCACCCGTCACCAGCA